CTTGAGAACAGTATTTGCTACAGAACACAAGAAATACAAATTTACTAGTCTCCATAATCTCTTGTTATGTGATGGAAATAACAGCAGAGATGAAATAGTTGAAAGAGCATTTAAAAATGAAATATTTAGAGTAAACCTCCATCACCCCTACAAACAAGCTGAGTGCAAGAAATGCTTCAAATAAGTCTGTTGGGTTTTGTTCTGGGAAACACGAGGGTTTTTTCCACACAGATGAAATAAGATTTCTGTGGTGATACTGTGACACACAAACTGTTCAAGAAACAATGTACTTGCGATGTTTAGATTTAGTAAACAGTATCTGCACAGGCAAAGCCATGATTTAAAAAACAGGGATGCTCTTAGGTATCTACTTTTAAATCTTAAGAGTGTTTCTTAAAATGACAGTGCCATGTTCAATACAGCATGTAAGATGCACTCAGAACCAAATGATCACTGGATGGTGATGATGAGTATATGTCTGCTACATGCATTTTATTTTGACTCTATAACATACATTCATAGAATACATCATAACCACTCAGAGCAAACCACTAAAGTGCATGCCCTGAGGGCACATTAAATATGTTGTCTCCAACACTGGCTGCTCAATTGCCAGAACACTGATACAGAAAGGGCTCATTTCTGCTTTATATCCCCATTTTGTGCTGAAAGAGTAAGAGCTAGCATCCCCTGCTCCCTCCGTGAAAGGGAGCACTGTGGAGCAGGCTAGTCGCCTGCTGCTGAAAAAGCCCTTTCAGAAAGAAGTAACCACCCTGAGAAGGTGCTGTACAGAAACGCAGGGAGCGAGTCTTGGGTAAGTGGACCTGTGGTACTGGGTTAGGCTGGGATAGAGTTGATTTTCTTCACAGCAGCCCATATGGTGCTGTGTTTTACATTTGCGACCAAAACAGTGTCGATAACACAACAGTGTTTTTGCCTGTTGCTGAGCAGTGCTTGCACAGGGTCAAGGCCTTCTCTGTTGCTCACTCTGCTGCCCCAGCAGAGTAGGCCAGGGTTGGGCAAGAGGGTGGGAGGGCACACGGCCAGGACAGCTGGCCTCAACAGACTGAAGAAATATTCCATACCATATAGCGTCATGCTTAGCAATAAAACTGGAAGGGGGGCAGGGAGGGAGGAGGGTAAGGTTTTCCAAAGTAGCCATTGCTCGGAGACTGGTTGGGCACTGGCCTGCTGGTGGGAGGTGGTGACTGATTGCCTTTGCATCACTTGGATTTCTTTTTCTTTTTCCCTGTACTTAATGAACCATCTTCACCTCAATACATGAGTTTTCTTGCTTTTGCCTTTCCAATGCTTTCTCCCATCCTAGTGTGGGAAGTCAGCAAGCATGGAGTAGGGGCTTACCTGCCAGCCAGTGTCAACCCACCACAACCTGTAACTGGGTTTTCCACTTTGAGTTCTCCCTTCTAGGACATGCTTTCCTAATACAGAAAGTCCTTGGGTTACCATGCCAAGCTAAGGCCACATGTAAAACCCAATCCTGTTTTTGGCAGCTGGGAATCTGAACACAAGCTACTGGAAGGCTGAAGATGCAATTCTAAGCTGGCCATGCCATATATTTACTCTAGCTGTGGAGCAGCACTGAAACTGTAGAAGTGATGGGCTGCACTCCTAACCACAGCAAGCACAGTGATGGAGTGGTATCATACAAAAAAACCCACCTCAGAACTTCAGCTCAGCACCCACTTCCCCCTCCCATTCAGTCCAGGTGATATCCTGAATCATTGCCTCGGGAAGGTGAGAAGGCATGTGCTAAGATCGGTGGGACAAAGGGGAGCTGACGCTCTGCCACTTGGCACTCCTTTGCTGCAAGAGCAATACAGAAATGAGAGCTAAAAGAACAAAAAAAATTCTCTAGGGCTGGAAGAAGCAAAAAAGATGACACACTGCTGCTCAGCTTCCAAACAGAACAGAGAGTAAAATGATGTGGAAAAAAATTGAACAATTTAAAGTATGGCATGCTTTTTTTCCTTTGAAACCTAGCTGATCAGAGGCTATGATGCAGACCATCTACAGAAACCAAATGCTGGGAACCAGTAATCCCATTGGCTTGGTTTTTAAACCCCAACTCTCCAGCCTGAATCTCCAGTCCTCAAGCACTGCTTGGTTCAGTGGACTTTCCAAGGAGATGATTTCTCTATCTCAGCTGTCTTACCTGCTCCTCCTGCAGTGTTATTCCCAGTGCAGCATCACTCTCTAGTTAGTCTAGACTGCTTCCCACAAAGCAGTCCATATACTGGCTTTAATAACCAGCTGGCAAAAAAAGTATGTAATCCATCACAACTGGCAGACCCCAGCACCTCTACTGCCAACTGGGGATTTACATGTCAAGCGTTCTTCTACTCCACTATCCCCACTAGGGAAAGGAAGCAGAGTCTAAATTTGTCCTGGAAAGTTGTCTCTTCAGATGTTAGTCTTCTGCTTATCTCCTTGCACAAGACATAGCTGGAAGAGGGCAGCTTGTAGTTTGGTTGCAAATGAACTTCAAAGGACATTCAAAATGGCCACTGGAAAGCCTGCATGTGGATGGAATGCCTCTTTGGCATGACTGAAAAGCTCTGCATGCCGGATATACACTCAAGAATGGTGCACACAATTTTATTAAGAACTTTATAATGATATAGATTTGTAACTTAAACATTACAACTACCCATAGAAAAGTGTTGCCTGTATCTTTTAAACACCATGTAAATAAAACAAATTTCTTTTTAAACTGCTATAAAAATGGTGCACAGTCAAGTCATACAAAAATACAAAATTCGTTTCCAACTGCAGTCCTAGTTGCAATTGCAGAGAAAAGCCCCCACCCAGGACTTCCAGTGAGCAGAGAACACAAACTTGTGGAACTGGTCATGGCAGAAATTTGTTGTCAAAATATGCAGAATCCAAGGCTTCAATCAAAGCGCCTCCAATAACTTCCAGACAAGGTGGAAATTAATTCCTCTGGAAGCAACTGCATACGTGCTAAGTTGCTTAGCCTTGGAATCCAGTTTCTAGCATTCATCTGAGCCAGTTTTTAAATTTCTGTTGCCACTTAAGCACTACTTAAGCCACTTAAGGCTGCTCCAGTGCTTCTTCTAGATAGTCTGACCTTTAACGTGCGCCGAGAGGCCTCACCAGTGCTCCAGTTTGAATCCCTAGGTTGAGGCTCTAGTCCAGTTAGCACTTACACAGATGTGTAACTTACAGCTTCCATACTTAGAGAGCCCTCCTGATGTCAGTGGAGCTACTGATATGGTTCACTTAAATGAGTGTCTCAGTGCTTGCAGGATTGGATAATTCTATCTCCCTGCCTCCCCAGCAGATTTAATTTCTAAATGTATTTTTATTTTCATACATTTCATATAGTTTGGGTTCTGTGATATGAAAAGAGTAAATCCTTTTAATTGGCTTACCGAAAGAAAACTAAACAAATTCACGTTATCAAATGACTTCTAGAAGCAAAAGTGAAATATTTCACTATTGCTGAAAGGTAAGAGCACTGGTTAGCTACATGATACTACATGTTTTTTTTAAACTTTTGACAGCAATTTAAAAGCCTGATCCTCTGAAAGGAAGCACAGAGAACTGCTTACTTATTAAACATTGATAACATGAGTTGTGCATGTCTCTACCTAGCCACACCTCTCCACTCCATTGCAAAGCTTTTGTAGAAGGGCTTTTCTCTTTCAGAAGATTTTCTTGAATGGAGTGATCGAACCATTGAGGCATTATTTTTTTGTACAGAGCTTATATTTAGTGCAATAAGTTTAAAAATTCTGCTCTGAAATATTAACTTTACATTAACAAAAATAGTTTTCTTAAAAAAATTGTAACAAAAGGATTATATAGCATAGACAGATCATGAATTCTTAGCAAATACACTTTTAAGCATTTACCGTTACAATATGCTGAAGAATTGAATATTAGCATTCATATCTGGTGAACTTCCAGACTGAAAAGAAATGTAAATATCTAAGAAGAATAATAAAAAAAGCACGTTCTCTTGTCGTTATTTGATAACTTCAGATAAACTATCCTGGCAGTTACACTTCCAAGGAAATGTTTCTCTGCCCTTTTCTGTTTTAGCCACCTGCTACAGTACATATAAATATGGATGAAACAACAGGCATGGTCCCTTCCACCTCCCAAGGCTCTCCGGCACTAAATGAAATGAAGCATACAGTACTTTTTTGTACAGTAGTACAGTTCATTTCTCTTCCCATCCTCAGCATAGTTACATCTAGTAATGAATTAATCATGAGTATGGCTAAGACTGAGCTTTAACAATCTGTTATTTCAATTGCTCATATGGAGAATCCATACCCTTCAAAGGAGCACTGCTGAAGTGTGAAGGAGGCTACTGAACTCAAGGGAAGGATAGTGGGCAACAGGTAAGAGGGGTAAGTAGGGTAAAACAGGAAGTTAATTGCATATAAAAATTATCTGTCCCCATTTTCTAGTTTCTGTCTAATAGGAGATGCAAGGGCTCCCACACACCTGAATACCTGAGGAGTTGGTTATTGTGATATCTGATACTGATAAACAAAGCTGTGCCCCAGCAGGGCTGTAAAGTAAAATGACTGCTTACAAATCCGTTGAAACTGAATGAACTCTCACTGAAACCACCTTCTGAAAAACTAAATTTGAGACTTTTCTTGATTTGAAGATTTTCCTTACATGTAACTGTCCTGAATTTAATGCAAATTTAAACAAACTAAACAAGTAAAACTCTCAGCAGATTAGCAGTGTCATGGGAAATCTCTCTAAACCCAGTCATCATTTCAGATTATCTTTACAATGATACCTCCTCCAGACTGTAAAATATCAAGCAGATAAGAATCAACTTTTCCATGACCACAATGAATAATTTAAAAAAATGGAACAATGATAAAGCTGCTTGTAAAAGCCACCCGTATGAAAAGAGTA